TGTCTTTCTGTGTAGGTGTTGCTGTGTCTGTGTGCAGGTAGTGGTGTGTCTCTGTATAGGTGTTGCTGTTTCTGTGTGTAGGTAGAGGTATGTCTGTGTGTAGATGTTGTTGTGTCTGTGTGTAGATGTTGCTGTGTCTCTGTGTAGATGTTGTTGTGTTTGTGTGTAGGCGTTGCTGTGTTTTCTCTGGACTAGATCCAGGGGCAGGAGCCGCAAGGTCGGGAGATGCTGCATTACTGAGAGATGCAGCCAGTTTCGGGGACGTTGGAGGGTCTTTGCGGGACGGCATCATAAAAAACCTTCACCTCACCTGCGCTGCTCAGACTACATCCCCCCTGTGACCACCAGTCCAGCACAGGACACAAACAAACCCCTGCTGCACATCCAACAATAGCCTCGATGGTTCCTTGCTGCGTGACCCCAGAAACGAGCACAGAAAATCCCTATGTAGACAGATCCTGCATCTGCCTATGGATTCCTGAGGGCCAGAGGACACATTTACGGGCTGGGTTGTTGAAGATAGTGGAGATATCAACTCCTCAGTCAGGCCGAAGGAGCAGGCAGGGCATAGTGCAACCTGGGAGCAACAGAAAGCCACCATCCTCATGCAGTTGAGCTTTTTAGAGATGACGTACGCTCCACTGAGACACAAAGGGGCTGCCAGGCTACAATACTCCACGTGTCATTTCATATAGTGAAAGAGGATGTGGGTTGACTTTGTGTAAGTAAAGATGGTTTTAAATTAAAAAGGTACCACTGGAATGCTCTCAAAGGTGATGCTCAAAGAAGGGGGTGGGGGAACTGAAGAGAAACAAGTAGCATATTGGTCTGTCAATTATAGTATCGTAGCAACCCGCACAAGATACATTGGCAGCTTTGTTTGATGTGTAGGCAGTGAGTTCAGCCTGTAGGGAAAGTAGCAGCCCAGAGCCAGGAAGCGAGGAAGGCCTGCAAAATCGCCAACCGCTGGCATCCTAACTCCCAACGGAAGGAGATAGGGTGAGATAAGAATCAGCCTGCCTAAATTAGTGATGGTATCTGGAAGGAGAAAAGCACAACAAGATGAGCACAACTTGCTATCCTAAACCACTAATGAAGGTTAGGGTGAGACGACCTGCAGATGCCTTCTGAGCTTCTTGTGATGCTGTAGAAGAAACCGGGGCTGGATTAACCTGCTGGGCTTGAGACCCCCTACCACACAACCCTGGTCCTTCTTCTCTTGACCTCCTGAAAAGATGTTGTGGCCCTTGAAGTGGTAGAGCGGTAAGAAACCCATCTTCACATAGAGCCAAATGTGCAATGCACTTCTAAGACATGGACAGCATGTGTTCTGCAATAGAACCACGTTGGTCCACAGTTACAAGTGAATGGTATAAAAAAAGCTCAAAATGAGGTTGTTGCATTTCATTTACATGCGGCATGAGTTAATAGCAGCTAAGACATCTGCAAACTGGCGCCATGGTCCACAGCCTGTAATGCTCTTGTGATCCGTGCCTTTGAGCCAGTCTGCCAGCGCTTGCTCATACATATTAACATTTCAAATGCATGGGGAATCCAAAATTCAAGCTCATATTATTTGTGATGCTGGCTTGGAGGCTTGAGGAGTGGGAAACCTGCAGCGCTTAAGCGTCACATCCCAGCTCAGGCCTTCCGGAAGGCCCTTGCAGGTTCCAGTCCCCAGGTTCTCAATGCATGTGGCCAATAAAACCCGATGGTTCTGTGGTTCTCCTGACCCTCTTTGGAGTACTGCTTGAAGCCCATGTTTCACCCTAGGTAAGCTCCACTGCTGGCACCCCCTTTCTAAGACAAAGTGGAATTAATTTGCTAAGTCTGTGCCCCCCCCCCCCCAAAACATCGTGCCCTAGGTAGCTGCCTATGTTGCTTAATGGGTTGACCGGCACTGCCTATATGGATTGAGGGGTTTCCCCCACACTGGAACCAGCGAGCACTCAATGTTTCTTACCCCAAGCAATGTAGAGGGAAATCCAATTGAGAAGACAGAGTATAACAGGTAGTGCACATAACTGGCATTTATAATATACATTTCCCTTTAACTGTTCCAGGTGGAATAATATTTAATGTATATTACTGGTTGACTCTCTTATTGAGGTTATGTAATTAAAACTTGTAATGCCAGCACTAAATGATTTTGTTGCTTTCGTGCAACCATGCGTTGTAAATTAATAATTCAACTATATTAAATTTGGCTGAATTGAATTTCCCCTCAGGGAAGGCTAGCGAATATTCTCATATTTCCCTCCATGACTGAAGGCCGTGCTTTGGAGTCCTTGAAGGGCAGCCCATGAGCACCGCATTAGCTTACAGTGTCTTATTAAAGACAAGTATGTCCTTGGCAGATCCGTGCTTTACTGCCCATGGAAGCATAAGCCCTGCAGTGTCACTCTGCAGCTGAATTGGGGGCTTTCTTGTCTTGTATAGATGATGTCCTCTGTTAGTCGGTCTAGGCACTAATAAGTGAATCCCTCCATATCCAGCCCTTGACCTTTGACACATCCTTGCAAAATCTCCCCATTGCAACTCTCTAAATTTTTCCCAACAGTGGTCCCTCCTTGTGAGTCACAGCCACCAGAGTCACGCTCCCTTCTGTAACAAGCAGTGATATGAATCTTCTGTTAGCAAAGCATGCGCCTGACTTTAGTCACCCAGGAGAGCTAAGCGGTGGGTGAACTGTTACAATGCATGCTCACTGGGTAGCAGAGAGTCAATCTGAAGTTTCAGTGGATATTTTATGAGCAGTTATCCCACGGGCTTCAAGCCGGGCAAGGCCCGAGGAGTCAAGGCCCGAGGAGTCAAGGCCCAAGGAGTTCCCTATTTGTTACGTGCCATTTGGAAAGGCTAATATGAAACTTCAACATTATGGTCCCCAATGAATCCAGAGAAACTGGTTTTCTGTTGGCTGGTCCCCTGTTGAGATTCTGAGATCCACTTTGGCCTTGGGGGGTGGGGTGGGGGGGCATTTACTCAAATACAGCCTAACAGCTGTAAACCCCCATTATGACACATGTATGGTCTCCTAAATGTCAACCGTTACTAGGCCGTAGGTTTCGTTCCAATACTGGTAGAGACCAAACAGCCCAAAACCTCCCTAATACCCAAATCTACACACTTGACCATCTTAACCCCCAGAAATGAATGGACCAATGAAAAACGTCAGCAGAGATTGACAAACCAAACAACCTATTACAAACACTTGCA